AAACTGATTTTCAGGGCATGCTTCGCTGGCACAGTGGTTAGCTCACACGCACCATGTATGGTGGCCTTAATCCTCGACGCAGCCGACCCGGATTTGAATCCGACTTGTGGTTCTTTGCCGCATGAATCTCCCCCTCTCTGCCTTTCCTGTCAGCCTAGTATCCATAAAAATGAGACACTAGTGCCATAAAAACAATTTTTAAAAACTGATTTTCAGAGGGGCCTGGCAAAAATGGCAATAGTTAAATAAAACACTTTCTTTTGAGGACAACAACATCCATATTCTGGCCAAGGAAGAAAGATGGTTTGAGCAAGGGATTAAGGAAGCCATCTTTGTTAACCTGGAAAAACCATCTCTCAACAGAGGAGGTGGTCTTAGACATAACCTTTCACCTACTTACAAAGCACTTTTTAGGAACAATACCTAAAAGATTCATCTATCACCTGCCCCCACCTGAGTAACACTCCAATGAGGCATGTGACCAAAACCACTTTGAAGAGGGAGTTAACAACCCATCAGAACTCCTTAACGACCTTTAGCACCCCTCAGGTGACCTCTGCGGCCTATCCGGTCGGATCAAAGCCACCTTTTGTTCCCCTACATTCTTTGTCACACCTACAGTTTATTCATCTTACTGCTCCCCACCACTAGTTATTAGAACTCTTAGATCCTCTTGGATTAAAAGTGAGACATCTTCTAGAAAACTTCACCCCCAGTTGCCTAAACTGAACCTTTCAAGCTAGACCGTGACCTGGGTGAGGGAGAATCTTCACAGATATGCTACCAAAGACAGAAAATCTATAGTCTTACCTGCCTTTCATAATCATAATAAAGGTACAAATGGCAAATACTACCAAAGTGAGATGTGCAGATAGACTTCTATAGAAGAAAATGTGAATACTGTAATAAATACAAGAGGGACAATACAACAATAAAATGTGGGACAATAGAGGGATTAACTTTTTTTTTATAGTTTCAAACATCAAAACTTGTCTTAAGAAAACAACCACAGGAGGGTGTGCACTTATGTAAGCATGAGTAGGCAAGTTTTTGTTTGTTTTTTTCATGTCCTAGTATGAACATTTTGACTTTTTCAGCTAAACAGTACAGAACATGCCACCTTGGAGCAACTTGTGAAAAAAAAGGGGGTTTTAATTTCCAAAACATGTCATCTCAAGTCACTAATCACTTTACCAAGACAGTTTTGGTTCACCTTGATAAACAAGTGGCAACAAAAAACATTGCATCTAACAATTATTTGTACACTTCCATAAATCACATACTGTGGATTAATGGAAGTGTAGGAAACAGGTAGGACAGACAACTAAAAGTGATGACAGGCTAGCTCCACCAGATTTTGTTCTTTGTTTTAATAGAGCAATAAAATGTTTCTCAGATAGCTATAAGGAAAGACCGGCATGCTAATGGCATGTTTTGTAACAAATAGCCGGAAACACTTGAGGGAAGAGTTTGCTCCATGTGCAGGCCATGTGTGATTTCCAAATATTTGGGTTTAGAAATCCAAGATAATCCAAACCAAATGATAGCTACTTAAACAATTTAGATATCCTTGGGGAAATTTGAACAACCAGCAGGGAATTTGACATGTGTTATCAAACACTTATAACATAATATTGCTGGTAAATTTATGTACTGTAGAATAACATCAATGTTATTAATTTTGGGTAATGTTGTTGCCTTGATCCCTTAAACATGATTTAAGGTTCTATCTAAACTCTTCTCGGGGTTACAGCCACAATATTCACTGTGAGAGGTTGCCTTCTCTCTCCGGTGTTCATTAGCTTTATAGAAAGGAATCCTAAGCAGTGCAAGGGCCAGAGTCGGATTTGGAGACCAGTGGATTGCATCCCAGTAGTTGAAGATGATGTGGCTGCAGTGAAGCAGCCAGGATGAAGCTCAACTCCTCTAAAACCATGGGCTCTCAAACGGAAAAAGGTGGCTTGTCTCTTTCAGCACGGAGGAGAGTTCCTTCCTAAAGCGGGGGAGTTCAAGTATCTGGTTGATCACATCCTAATTGGCTGTGAGGTGAGAATGGAGTGGGGGATTGACAGACTGGTCGGTACAGCTATTGCAGATAATGCACCAGTCTATTGTGTTAAAGAGAAAGCTGATCAAAGGTTAAAGCAAAGCTTTTGATTCACTAGTGGATCTACATTCCTACCCTAGCCTGTGCTCATGAAATCTGGATCATAACCAAAAAATAACTAGATCCTGAATATAAGTGGCTGAAATAAGCTTGCTCTGCAGCGTAGCTGGACGCTCCCTTAGAGATAGGATGAAGAGCTCGGTCATTTGGGAGAGGCTTGGAGTAGAGTTGCTCCTGCTCCCAATTAGGAGGAGTCAGCTGAGGTGGCTCGGACTTCTTTATTAGTTACACTCAGAACACCTCCCTTGAGATTAGTTTTAGGCACAACCCATCAGGAGGAGGCCCAGGGGACAACCAAGGACACGATGGAGGGACTGTGTCTCTCATCTGGCATGGAAGCACCTCAGGCATCGTCCAGCTGTGCTGGAGAAGGTGTCTGGGGAGAGGGAAGTCTGGAAATCTTTGCTGAGACTACTGCCCCTATGGCCTAGTACTAGATTAAAAGGAAGACAACGAGTAGGAGTGTTTTTTATTTTATTTTTTTTAGGTATTATCGGTATGTACTTAAAAAAAAATGTTAACAATATTCTGGATCCTAAAAAATAAAGGGTGATACTAAGGAAGAAAACAAGAGGACAACTATAAACATTTAATCCATAAAACACATCTGTTTTTGGTTGTTTGTTCCTTTCTTTTGTCCTCCCCTCCCTTTTACTTAAGGCAATTTTTCTGAGTATTTGGTCCAATATGCAAAGGTTGTTTTTTTTATTATTTTTTTTTATTTCTGTTTTTACAGGCATATGCTCAGTTGTTCTCAAAAGTTTAGACACCTGGGTAGATTTTTTGTGTTGTCAAGAGGGAGATAATGTATAAAAAAATTTTTTTTTCTCATACAGTATCATTCACTAACAAATAATTATAGAGACAATCTCAAAAATAACTAATAAACTATGTAAAAGATATGATTTAATGAGAGTTCAGTAAATGTAAAGATCACAGATTCACCCCTCGGTGGTAGAAGTCTTGCTGCAGAACAAATCCCATCTTATCACTAGTTCTCCCTTCTGCTTTGTAGAATTTCTCCAGCTCTTTTACTTAGCGATGACATTTCTACAGCGGAGCCCATATGGATTCTAGTTAGGCTATTCCAAAAATAAGTTAGTTATTCTCTAATTAATTCATTTCTTTAGTTATGTGAGGTTGTTTGGACTCACTGTAGTGATAATGATTTACCTGATTTCAATTTCAGATTTCTAGCCAAGGGTTTTTGGTTAAAACTTATAGACATTTAGAACTGTCATTATTTCACCAACATTATGTTTAACTGATGTCAATCCTTTAGTGATCTACAGACTTTTTTATACCATATATACCTAATGGAATCATGTCCCTACAGTTTAATTTTATCAGCGGCTGAGCATCTTCGTCATCAGTGTTAGTTTTGCCTTCCATACATGTCGCGAAAACATCACACCTCGAATATCAAGTATTCATATTGTCACTGCCATCCTCTGTTCTCCAGTAACTGAAGTTCTAATTACAAAGTAGTATCTATGTTTAAAATGCCTTAGACGTTTTTGTGCTGCCATCCTGACTGATATGTTTCTAAAAAGAATGAGATCATGTAAGAGCCTTATGCAATGTACAATTACATAATCAATAACCTGCAATAATTGCAATATCATGCAGGGCATCTGGATTTCATTCCAGATGAACCAGCCTTACTCTGCTTGATTTTGGGAGTGTACTCAAGAAGACAAAATATTGACATTGAATCGAATGTCATATACAGCATAGTGTTTGTCTATCTGTGTTCACACTTAAAAGCTGTATCTGTCATATTACATGTGACCACAACTTTTGAATTATAAATCATTCTAAAGTTTTTGGATGGGGTAAAGCTTTGAGATCCTCTGCCCAGTTAGCTATAGTAAATATGCAACACCTAATGCTGACTTTTAATGTGGTATAAAATAGTAAAACCTTTAGTGACAGCAGTCCTCTTTAGTCCTTCGCCTGTGTAAAAAGCTTTGGAAGGTTTCCTTAAAGGAACCCGTTTTGTGAATTGTTACATGTTCTGAACGCTGGGTCGGCTTTAACACACCCCTTATTCATACAGGTGTGATCCACACCCTGTTCTGCCCTGCCTGCAAACATGAACCTTTTGTTGTTACAAAGGTGGCAGCTTCATAACACATAATAGAGACAAAAGAGAGAAGACTGGCTAACGCTCAGCTTCCAGACTGTTCAAACAGAGATGCATAAGATGTTTATATTAAAACAAAAGTAAAAATATTTTTTAAAATCTTGTAATTTACATTTTTTTTTTATCTCGGCACGCGACTATGGTTTACAGGGGTATGGGATTCTTTGTCAATATTTCTTCGGCAAACTTTAAAATATTAAATGGCTATAATCTTTTGACATAATGTTACTTTCACTAAGGTGGAAATAGAAGAAAAACTCATAAAAAACAATTATGCCGCTTCCAAATACAAGTGCTTGGTATTCCCCGTAACACTCTTTAATGTCCGGACCAAACATGTACACGCAACTCATTGCTCAAACCAACCTACAGATCCCAAACAGAAGCGTTTTTTGGTTTTATATAAAAAAAGACCACCTACTGGGACATTATTTGTGCTCAGAGGAACCACAGAAACTACAAACCTAAGATAGTTCTCATTATGTTAATATCTGTGATGTCTGTATCTTTTGAGATGCTTTTGCTCAAATGTCTTAAATATCAAAATCCTTTGATAGTATATTGCATAAGGGTTCATCTAAAATAATTTGAATTTCAGTGAGAAAAGTTATTTAAGTATCTTGAAATAAATTGAATAATATAAAGATGAGTTATGCAAAAAATGTTTTATTTATTCAAAGTGGGGGGTTTGCCCATTTTAATACCTAAAGAAAACCAAAAAGATCATATTAGAAATTAAGAATACAGCACAAGACTCTACAAGACCCAAAGGAGCACTTCACAGATGTGTAGCAGATAGGTAATATTACATAATATGCTTACAAGGAATGCCTAAAGGTTGTAATATTGAAATGGCACTTTTAATCTTAGAACTGTGCCTCATTGGAATATATAATTATATTCATTTAAAAAAGCTATATTACCAGAGTTAAAGAAGAACAATAGGAAATATTTCCAATGAAGAGATGACCCCAGCCTTAAAAGGATTGTGAGGCAAAGCCTATGTAAATGTTTGGGGGATTCAGAAAGTGTGTCCTGCAGCTTTAGGAAGTGTTTCAATAGCTAAAACCTTAGTTTACCTTGTGTGAATAAACTCCTGGACCAAAGACAGTGTTAATAGTGTCAACTTTACTAACTGGAAACAAAATGCAACTGTTACTCAGAGAAAGAAAGTACTCTCATCAGATGAAAGTAACTTAGTCATTTAATTTAAAAATCAAGTTCACAGAGTTTGAAGGAAACATGTAACAGTCCAAAATGCATACCACCTTCCTACTGCGGATGAAATGAGAAGCCATGTATTCTAGTGGCGTTCTTCCACCTGGGTTTTATCAAGTCAAAACTCAGAGAAACCATCGATAGAGATAATTCAGAGAGCTTCATGCTTTGTTCACTGACAAGCTTTGCAGAGATGCTGGTTTTATATCTTTTCAGGTACTATAGTGGTACCTAAACCATTGATGACTATAGTAGCACTGCGTTTAATTGGTTAGCAAACTGAACTGGCCAAAACTCCACAGATTATTTAGATTCTCTAGAGGAGGAAGAGAAACAATAGAGCCAATGATGCAGATGAGCTAAAGGCACCTGAAAGTTGGTTTCTGTAACACCTCAGAACAGCTATTATGGAATGACTCCATGCCACATCACCAGGAGAGTTGGATCTCATTTTTTATGAAAGCAAATTATCTCATTAGTTTTCATTATAAATAACTGTTTGAAACACTTAAACTAAAATTTAACAAAACTATAATAAAATTTGTTTGATTATGAGCCATAACATCTTTTTAATTATATAATAATTTGAAATGTACTTCAAATTTGGTATATTGAAGCATGGTTAACTTTTACAGTAGCCAAACAGTATTCTCAGAATGCAAAATAACAGTTATGATTTAATTTATTAACTAGACCACATAAGAAATACATTTCATGTGAAAATTACGGACCATTTTACCTGAATGTAACAGGAAAAAAACCATTCAACCTTGAAAGAAAAACTACGCTATTTTATGTTTTTGACTTTTAATTGATTTCTTCGGGGCAGCATTTTACTCACTGTTATTTTAGAGTTGCTTTGGATCCAGAATGTTTACCCTTTTACAAAAAATAGATAAAGGAGCCCCTCTGAATTCTTTGCCAGAATCTCGTACCTGTGTTAAAATTATAATTCAGTTAGAACCAATAACAAAAATCTTTCCAAAAAAAACGAACATTTGACAACATAAGAAAACTAAAACAGGCAGTTAAACAACACACAAAATTTAAATTGCAATTTGGTGCTGTGTTGTTAAACAGCAGTTTATGACAACCTTCTTTCACAGTCTACACATTTTATCCATTGTTTAAATTTTACGAAAAAAAGATAACGGTTAAAAGGTTAACTCATGTGAGAACCACAACTTTCTGTGTCAGCAGGCTTTAAAGACGTAATGTTTTCAATACATATCTACAATCTACTGAACACTGTTAACAGTTTGCTAACATAGATTTGACTGTTGTGCCTGTTAGTGTCATATGAAGAACAGTATCAAAGGATAAACATACTCCTGCACAAGTTCACTCTAACAAAAATGACCACATTCATAGCAGGTGTGAATCAGCAGTGAAAGCTCTCAGGCCTCATACAGCGGCGTGACCGTGCCGTCCTTCCACTCAATCAAGATCTCTCCTCGATGTAAGGTGGGCGAAGAGTGTGGAAAGTGCATGGCATGTTCCGTCAGGGTGGCTCTTTCACTGATTATAGGCGATCCTGGAACACTCGTCTCTGACCTTGGAGTGTATGACTTCAAGACACAAACCACTTTCTTCCTCCTGACACAACAAATAAACAAGAGTAAAAAGATAGGAGAAAGAAGTAAGCAAGCTAAGCAAACATATTCTTTAAACTATGTAAAGGAAAGCTGCATAAAGCTTTCTCTCCCCAATTCTTTCCTGAGAACAGATCACTCGGGACAAACTCTTTCAATAACACTCCATAATGTGTATGTATTAAGTAACCATTAGACATGACAACAGATTTTGATAGAAATTGTAATATTACTCAGATCAGAGTATTGCTTCACAGTTCACATTTTATAAAACTCCGGTATGCCACATCATCACATTATTACATCATACATGTTTGTAAATGAGGACACATCCATGGCATAACAATTACAGAATGTCCCCGATAAAAGCACAGATAACTCACTGTTAAGAAAGGTCTGTCTGTGCCCCCATTTCATTTCCAAATCTTTGTTTTGTACATAATGAATATGATAACTGCATATTCTGACAGAAGAACTGACTTAGTTAGATAAACTACTAGGGAAAACATTCATTTTGACACGTAACAGGCAGGTATTATTAGGACTCAACAGGCTCACATAGCATCAATAAAAATAATCCTAATGACTATAACTTCATGCTTTAACTGGCTTTCTTTTTCAACTCAAGACACTACTTTGCAATAAAAATAAAGACATTTTTCAGTCATATACATGGACGTTAAAGCCTTTTTGAGTTTTTACAATCCTTCCTGCAAACTTTGGAACCAAATTACAGCTCCGGAGACTACAGGGCTCTGGGAACTGTCCGTTAGCATTTCATATCTACATCCTTACCGTTTTCGCAAACAAACCATTTATCCCTTTGTATTTAAGCATTGCAAATCAGTTTATTTTTTGTTCGTAGTTAAAAGTTCGTGCAAAACTAAAAATACCCTTTCAACTATTTCGCATTTTTTCCCACAAAACAGATGCAAAGTAAACGGATATTAATGTGTTTTGTTATTTCCATATTATTGCAAAAGAATACATACTATCACAAGCATGGTAGGTACTAGAGTGTATATCAGAACACAATGTTAGGAGTTTCTGGATCTTCCGCTTATCCGAGACCAGGTCGCTGGGTTATGCAAAATCACCTCAAAAAAAAAAAAAAACAGTTTGCAACCACTGTCTGCTGAATTGCACAAGCAAATCGCTATCAGCTATAACACAGAAACCATATCAGACCCTTCGTGTGACAGAATACAAATCTCCTGAAGACATCCTGCTCCCCATGAATCATGGTAATAGCAGCACGCTACAGTGGGAGTTCTTCTATCTAGCTAGACAGTGGGGTTAGAGTTTATACACAGGCAAAGGGATAAAAACAGAGCAATAAAAAAAAAGAGAAGGGGTGCAAAATATCCAAGGACTTTCCTTACAGCAGGCACACAGCCAGACCTTTATGTAATATGTAAAAATGCTCAGAGCAAAATAAATCTTGCAGCTATGCAGGATTTACAAAATTTATACTCATAGAAGCTCTTTACTGCATCTGATTAAGATTAAGCTATTCTGCCAAGAAGAATACAAAGATGATAGATACATATCCCAAAACACTCTGAGCTGTAACTGCAGAGAAAAGTGGTTTTATAAAGTACTGATTCAGGGAAGACTGAATATATACTCATTTTTTCAACTTTTTATTTATACATTAAATTAAAGTGTGCCTAATTTTTAACTCATATGTATAGCCTTGTGATGCTATATTACCTAAAATCCCAACATGGTTCATTTAAGGTTGTGGCATTGAGGCCAGGAAATACTGAAAAAGTTTAATAGCTATCAATCATTCCACAAAGCCTTGCAGGTTATGGGATAAATCTTAGAGACAGATCATTATAAAATGGGGATTTTTGACATGTAATTAAATTTCAGCCTGATTTCTTTTTCTATGGAAATTACATTGCACCACATTTCCTTTGGCACTGTGGTTCTGATATCTGTTTATGTAAATGGTTTGTTGAAAGATTTGGTTGGATAGTTCTGTTGAAGATCAACAAAGATGGAGAAACTGCTAAAATAGACACTACAGACTTTATATAGACATTTAATGCTAATATATAATAACTGTTTTGATTTTTTTTAAAGACAGGTATTAAGAGCTATTGTGAGGAATTACATGTAACTCTAGAATTAGGCAAATAAGACGATGGGTTTAAGAGGGAATTGAGGATATGGTTGTTATCTTCACTTAACAAATTGATTACATTTTCAGTGTTTGTGTATTGCAATCCTCACCTGTTGGAATACACACTGAGGATGAAAATTGCAGTTCCTAGGACAAGAGCCAAAGAGCTCAACACCAGCATGGTTATCTTCCATCCCATTCCTGCACATACAGTATAGATATGTAAGCTGACCAGTTTAATTTTTTTTTTATTACGCTAGATTTTATATTTTTGTTTAAATAAATCATATCTGAGTCTGTAACTGAGTCTTCACAAGTGCTGTACCACATTCACAGAAACATTTGCTCACCATTATTAAAGAATTATCTCCCCCTAGTGGTTGTGTAAAGCAATTACAGTAAATTAGGAAGTAAATAATTGCAACCTGACTTACAACAGAGTATTAGTAACAAGTTCAACCCTTTTGTGAATTACAGTTTGCTGAATTTACCATAATCCATAGTGTAAAAAACCATGGTGGGATCTGCTGGAGATTTGGTGCCAAAGGGATAAGGGATTATCCCATTCTTTACAGAATAAGCTTCTGTCCCGTTAAAGCCCATTATACCTGCAACTGGACACGAGGGGAAAAAAAGAAGACCCAAGTTATTAAGAAGCCTGTATTGAAAATAAATGATTAAACCCTTTTTTGGGGGGATTAATTAGAAAGCAAACATACATTCTGAAAATTTAGTGATTTTCAAATGCTATCAAGTTTTGCTGAGTACATATTGTAGTTCTGCACATTGTTCTTATGGTTGAAAACACAAATTCTGAGCTAAAGTACAAGAGTTAAGAGTGGATCATGTTTCAGTCAATCAGAAAAACCACTGGTGGTCTCATCATAGGGGGATAATGGCTGGATCATTTGTTTTTAGAAGAAATGGTCTACATACATTTCTTTCATTAGCTTTTGCAACTAATTTGCCACATTGTAAAGCATCATTAAAATAAAAGCTTCTCATGAGCAATACTCTAAAAGGTTTTGGTGGCTGATTTAGATACATTAGCACTTGCAGCAGTCTAGTATTGATTTTGCTTTAAGTTGTGTTTACAGCACTATGAAAACAGGGATTCCTTTAAACATAAAAAAATAGGTGAACCTATTTTATATCCCCACACTAGGGTTGTCAAAAGTATCGATACTCAAAAAAGATACTGAAATGTTGTATCCGGATACAATACTCGTTTTTAAAAGTATCGATACAGTGCTACCACCAGTGGCACCTAAGCAGTCATTCATCTAAAGTGCAGAATAGAGGACAATGCACTTTCAGAACACTGTGTGATTGAATAATTCTGTGCACTTTTCAGTTTCAGACCTTTTTTTTTTTTTAAGAGGTGCAGCTGCTGAGAATTATTTTTGTTTCTTAACCGGTTTGGCTAGTATCATTGTTATGTGTGCAAAGCATAGCCAAGGAAGGAACACTTAATTTTAATTTTATACGTTTTTTATCAAGCTTGCTTAATATTGTGCACAGCATACAACCTTTATTGTATCTATTTATTGTATTTTATTTATTAATGAAAATATTTCTGTAGAATTTTGGAGTCTTTGTTTTTATCCTTGTGGTATCGAAAATGGTATCGAGTATCGAATATTTTCCTTAGTATCGGTATCGAGTTGAAAAGTTTAGTATCGTGACAACCCTACCCCACACTATTACTAACTACAGGAATAAAGCAAGCTCATTATATTAATTACCTGGGTACATTTTAGTAAACTAAGTTTCGGCAACTACAAAAAAGGATTAAAAAGAGGACAGCTGGACATTTGAAGTCTGACCACCTTCCATTTAAGCCTGTTTGGTGGTAGATCAGCAATCTTCATCACACTGTTTTCAATGCAATTCACAAATGAATGTAGCAAACAGATTTAGGAGTAAGAATCTGTTTAGTTCTTACATGGTTTCTCATGCATGGGTCTTTCAGATGACAGAGTTTGAGAAATCTCAGTTTTTTCTTCCTTCAAATGATGAGATTGGTTTTCTTTATGGTCTCTCCTGTTACACAGCGTCTGGTTATCAAGAGCGCGCCACTTGCTGCCCTGCTTTGCAAAACAGAAGGTATCATGAGATAAAATAAAACCAACTAAAACTTAGCCACAAGTATTATAAGAGAGACTGGGACTACCTGCTTATGTTCCCTCGACAGAAAAACTAAAGAGGAATCTTTTGTTGCACTTAAGTGAAGCCTATTCTCTATCAGAGTAATATGGCCTTTCTTTGAGCAGGTCCATGCCTGACCACTCGCCTCTCTTTCTACATCGTCTGCCAAAGCTCCATCTTTGAAAATGCAGGACTGCAGAACAACACCTTCATACTCCTCCCTCGGTGCGGTCAGACATTCTCTGGTGTGTTGGTTGATGAGAGCTTTGCCCCCTGGTAGCCAGTGCCATTCTTGTACAGTTGAATATGTGTTGCACTCTCCCAGTGTTACTTGACCTTCTTTTTTTCCTTCTGGCACCTGCAGGCATTTACCCAGAAGCTTGTTCCGGATCTTTAATCCAGACGCCCCTAAGAAAGGAACATAAAGCAGCTGTTTTCTGATAAGAAATTCTGTATACAACTAAACAATCTAGTATGCGTTATGCATAGCGGTTGTGGAAGACTTTTACAAAAGAAAGTTCCATTTCAATCTGGCGAATTAAACACCACACAGAACCAATGTGAGGTACATTACAATAGAAAATGACATGAAGATAAAAGCTAAAACTAGACATGAACCAACCAATAAAAATGAGGTTAGTAATCATGAAACAGGGGTAAGAGCAGTATTATAAACTGGAATTAAGACTATGTTATATTAGGATGCAAGTGATTTGAAACATTTGCTTATTTGTTGTTTTAGCAACAAATTAAGATATAGAAATCCTATTAGAGCAATAAAGAATGTTTATTTTTAAAAGAAAAAATGTTTACTTATTAAAATGTATATATGCACTAAACATGCCGTCAAGATTATTATGTTTTTGGGTCAAGAATAACTTTATCAATACAACACGGTATGAAGGTGATCAGCCAGTGGCATTGTGGAGATTTTAAGGCCCAGGCATTTTAGTAGTGGCCTTCTTTAGGTCATCTGTATTGCTGGCTTTGGTGTATTTATCTTTCTCTCCTTTAAACAGTTAAAGCATAAAGTATTGTCGAAAAATAATGACTGCAATGACTTTTGGGTCCTCCAATCACCACAAACCGTGGAAGCTTCATGGGTGGGATGCTGAATCTCTGCCTCTGTGTTCAATTCATAAATAAGATGGAAAAAATACTTTTGTTCAGAACTGGGACTGGTTTGGGAGTAGCTAAACTAATTCCAGGCTAGGATATGTCTGTCTGTAGCTCTAGACCAAGGATCTGCAACCTTTCAAATCCAAAGAGCTATTTTACGCCAAGCTCACACCTTAAAAGCAGATTGGTCAATACAAACAAAAGATTGGTTGGTTGGATTTTATCTATCTACCTATCATTCTGGATGGTAGTTATGTGTCCAACTAATTATTTGGTTAAAACAACCAATCTAATTGGGATTTTTTTAAAGAAATATATATTGGTAAAATGGCAAAAAAAATACAAAATTTTTACCTTGACCAAAATATTGGTTAATAGTGTAACAACATTGAAAGCCAGGACCAGTGTTTGAACCACTAACCCTATGATTGCAGGGGAAACTCATTCATTAAACACCACTGTCACCGCTAATGAGTTTTGGGACTTACTAATAGTTAATCCTAATGTTACAAACAAGATTAATGCCAAGATTAGCATGTTGTGCGTGTGCACATCGTTGTAATTGTTCTCTATGTACATAACTAATATACACTACTCTTCACTACGGCCAAGCATTTAGAGTAGTAAACCATCAGTTACCATTTCTGTTGGTTGTTTGGTTAAATTGGTTAATCAAAAACCAATGGCTATGTCATTTTCAGACCAATATATTGCTTAATCTAACCAAAATTAGTTTAACCAACTAGTTGTTTTTCCAACCAATCCATTCTTAGAGTGCAGCTAATTTAATTTCATTAAGATCCGCAAATATTACATGGCCTTCAAATAAAACAGTACTTATTATATTGGTTGTAGGAACTTCTTATGCCATTTTATGAAGCAACAAACAGTTTTTTGTTTAACCCTTTAACACCAAGTGTATCATATTTTTTAAGACCTCTACATATTTAGTTTGATATTTAAAAAACAAACAAAAAAAAATGAACAGCAACCCTGGTTTACGCAATCAGAAACTCACAGTGAATAAACAATGCACTGTACAGAAATTTCTAATGTATCATAAATGACATAACTAAATAATCTAATTTAGATTATTCCAAATTGGTGGAGTTTTTTTTTTTTTCTTGTCAGAATGATGAACAGTTTAAAAATGTGTCAATAATATAATGGTTTGTGTTTTAAAGGGTTAAAATAAGGATAAAGATGATGAATGGATTATTTTTTTTACTGGATATTATTTAAAAGCATTAACACACAGTTTCCAAACTAATAACAAGAAATATAGTACTAAAAACATATGTCTCCTTCTTTAAAATCACTATAATGAGAAAATTCAGTTAAAATATTCTTTAGAAAAAAACACTAAAGCTTCAACTAATGCTATTTATTCAAAACCATTAGTCGGTTTCTTGATTATTTCTGGCCAATATTAAGAGCCATTGTAGAGGGTCCATAGAGCTACCTGCTGCCATGGGTTGCAGAACCCTGGTCCACAGAGAATGAATGCGGAACCCATGAATTGTGAATCTCCATATTATGGAAAGTGCTGTAGTTTCTATTGTTTCCACCAAAGCTTGGATACATTCCTGTTGCTGATGCTTCTTTTTCAACAGTTTGTTTTTCCACTTAACTTTCTGTATTAGTCACACAACACATGCTATTTTTTTTTTTTTTTTGAAATGTAAGATAATCATAACAGCAACAAATATACGTAACTCTAATCTGGGTAATTAATGTAACAAGAGTTGCACTTTCTTTAGTGGGTTATTGAACTAAAACAATCTGTCATGTTATAACTTAGTGCACCTTATGTTGTTGACTAAAGATTTTCAGTTCTTGATTTTAAAACACCTGTAATTGACATGAATGGCCCCCATCATGGAGAACAACACAACAATGAGCTACCAAAACTAAAAATCATATATTACAAAGAATATTTAAAATTAAGGCCAGGATGGAATTCATTCTTAATTAGTTAATATTTTAATTTAAAAATCTTTAAATAAATGAGTAATTAATCAAAAATGACTACCGTTTTACCTTATGACAGAGGGAAACTTCAGTGTTTGATTTAAATTCTTGCCTGAATGCTTACAGCAGATGCATCAGGGTTGTACCAGCATTTTATCAGACTTCAGGATTTTTTTCCACGTGTTTAAATTGTCAGCTCCTAGATCTATTTATTTCAGGACATAGGCCTATTGTTGACAAATTAAGTCTAAAACAACGCTGCTGCTCGAATAGGTTAGTCTACTAAACTGTGCAAAGTTAGATTTGATTAAACCAGCGGAAATTACACACTGCAACAGATTTTACCTCTGAAAATGACAAGGATAAGGAAAAAGAAGGAAGGAAGCCGATTTCCTCGCATAGCGACAGCAGTCAAAGATAAAAACTTGAGTTTTCCCCAGAGAGCTTCTATTTAGCAACAAGTGGGAGGGGGCAAAACTTCCCACAGTCAGTGCGCACTGCAGGGAGGGGACGCGAAATAAATGTCTTAAAGGGGACACGCAGATATATTTTTACCATTTAAAGTGACTTAAACTGTGAAATATTGTCTTAAACGTGACTTTTAAAATAAAATTACCATTTATAAATAAGAATAGTTTTATTATTTTTTTTGGTAACAGGATGTTCAACTATCAGCACCAAAGTAAAAAGGCTATGGAATACAAAATGTAGCTTACAAAAAAAAAACAACAAAAAAAAACTTTTTCTTTGGTTTTTTAATGATAAAAGTTGAATGTGAAACAATTTGAAGGAGCCTCAATGAAATTATCTGTAATTGTCTTACTTTTTATGTATCTGTCATTTAATTTAATGTACTTCTGTTTCTTATATAACTTTGCTGCCTCTTGGCCAGTACACCCTTGAAAAAGAGGTTTTTAATCTCAATTGGATTTTTTCCTCCTGGATAAATAAAGGTTAAATTAAAAAAATGTATTTACTTTTAGATATGTGTTTGTGGTTTTGTCTGTGTAAATGAAAAGCAGGTGCGGAAAAACATGGAAGAACCCAAACACTTCTGGTCTAAGATTACATCGTAACCTTGTGTGGCATATATGTCTTAAATATTCATTATAACTGTTTTTAAACTCAGGGAGATGAAATATAATATTTACATATTGCTACTAACATGGGGACAGTTAATCAACAAATATTTAACTAATTGCAGCTTTCAAAACAAATCTGTTGTTATAATATGTACACAGCATGTTACAAAGAGGACGTATGAAAAAGCCATTGAAAACGTACAAAACTTTAACCTTACTTTATATATTAAAAACATGAGAAGTATTTTGTAAAATGGAAATTCAGCCTTTTGTCTCACCGCCTTGTTTCCCACCCTGCCTGAGGAGAATAGGACTTTACAAGCACTTTGCCAAGACTCCATAGACTACTAATGAGTTTTAAAGAGCATAAATCTGCTATTAGAAGAAAACAGGACTCTCTTTCAAATAGAACATCCCCACTCGTCGCTATGAGAAGCTAGAAAGCTTTTGTGGACTTGCTTGATCATGTGATGTTTTCCTGTAGCTCAACCCCCAACAAAGAATGTTTTCATAAGAACACAAACAGAGTATTAGAATATTATATTTGACCAAAAACTCCACAATGTTGCAGATGCAATATTTGTAAATACACATAAACATGGAAAAAACATAAGACCAAAGCTGTTGGTTTCTCTTTATTGACACAAAACCACTCCTTGAATAATTTAAAAGGCACCACCATTTATTTTGGACAGGAAAAAAACAGACCAGAGTTCATTTTACAGAGGGCACAACACACAGTAGATCTCAATATTTTGAACAAAACATTTAAAAAGACTTTAAAACTGCCTTTGTTTGACATTTAGCTTTTGACTTTTAATATTTCTGCAGAAAAGACCTGGTTGTGTGTGGAAAAATCTTGACCAGGAAGAAATTCATCCATTCATCCGTGAACCAGATCTGCATATTTGTTATTCATTTGCTGTTTAGTCTTTTTATATATGCCTATTCATAAACATGTCTCTTGAATCCATAAATTACCAACAAAATAACAAGAAAGCAAAAATAAATAAATAAATAAAAAGTTTAAGTCTTTCTTAGTAGCATTGGCCTAGATAGTTGGACTGGACAATATATACATATACCGGTATAAATATTGAGAGCATAAAAAACAACAAGTACAAAACAGAAAAAGGCTGTAGTATTTTTAAAAGGCAATACAGATTTATTTTGTATCCAGTGTGCAGTTGTATGTGAACCTGAGCGTGAATAGCACTAAACTCATAACTCGGGCATCAGCAGTCTTACCTTACCATAGTCGAATTAAGGTCAAATTTATGATTAAGCCATGATAAATAAAATCTTCAAATGATGTCTAAGCTGCTGTAAATGTCAGCATCACAGATATCATCGGGTAGCATCGATCAACCCTTTCCTATGCTGCATGTTGACTTTAAAACACAATAAATTTACATCTTTTCACAATTAGATCAAAAACAATTTTCTTTGGAGGGCAAAAACTGACAAATTCACCAACTATACCATAAAAGGAATAAAGTTTAATAAAAGTACGTTTTATCTGTATAATAAATAATCCCATAACTCTATTGGAAAGTGCACAATTTAGTAATTTATTTTCATTAGAAAATTAAACATACATTTAAAAAACTAAATACTTAAATGTAGTTAAAAAATAATTTAAAATGCATGTTTTGCCTGCCATAGATTAATAAAAATGAAGAAAAAAAAAACATGATAAATGATAAATTCAAACAAACTAATCTATCTATCTACTCATTTTTTTTAACATATACATCAAAATGTTAATTTATATAATTAATGGTAAGTGGCTGGGGAGAAGGACAGCTGGGGAAGCGGAGGGTGGATGGATGGATGCATAATTAATGGTAGTTAGGTTACTATTAAATAATAAAAATTTTGATGCTGTCCAATTAAAAATCTAGCTCTAAATAGTACTTAATAAATGTTGAGGCTTAGACAAAGCTAACAAGACAGAACGCCTGGTAACATTTCTGAGCTGTTGTTTATAAAGCTAAAAGGAGCTTTATGTCATTAAGAGTTTAGACTCTAATATAACGTTAACATTCATGTCTTTTATCAAATGCTCATTCCTTTTCTATTACCAAAGTCTGACCAAAACTCAGTGCACGAGAATCCTGTCTTCTAATGTCTAGCTCAATCAAAAAAGGTTAAGAATCAATAGACAAAATGTTATCATCCCTGATTAAGCAAATCACTAATAAAACATTATTTGGACAATTAATGTTTTATTCACCTCACCTTGGATTTGCATTGGGAATTGGTTTAAGACATTCCAACTGCTCTAAATGAGTTAAAAGGTAATGTGATCAATTCCAAATGCTTTACGATAAACTTTGGTTCTCAAACACAAATCCATGTTAAGCTGTGATCTCATTGATTATGGTTTTCAACCATGTTTTACCTTTGTTTTTGTACATAGTAGTCAAGTTAAGTTGAGTTTCACTAGTTTTAGTCAAGAGTTTTTAACTGAAATATGTTTAACTGAATGGTTTTTGTCAATAAACTCTTATATTTTAAATGGTAGTTGTGGTGAATTTACTCCATACCATACCATACAGAATGATCTCTTTGAACTAGCCTAACTAAATGTGAGATTAAATGTGTAATTTAATTTAATTAAATGTGTAACTTGCAGGTAAAAAGGATTTTGGTCGCTGGCAGGTGGAAGAGTTTAATAGGCTATGTTTGACCATGATTTGAGCTCGATTAACATTTTCATTTGTCCTCCTAACACACACAGCCCTTGTGTTAATAAACAATATATGATGTCTGAATATTATCTGATTAAATGATATATTTACCTCCCCTATTGGGGTCGGCAATAAAAATATTAAATTTGCACAACAGTATGAATACAAACCCTTTATCTGTCTAATGTCACTGTTGCCTGCCTTCCTGTATGGTATTTAATTGGACAAAAGAGTTTAAAGAAATGTTTGTGCTAATAAGTTTGCTCTAATAAATATTTGCTCTAATAAGTTTTAATAGGAAACAAATATTTCACCTTTCATTTTACAAAGTTCAAGACCTTACTTATAAGCAAATATGTTATATTATAGAAAATATTTGTTGAAGCAGGACCAGCATGCTCAGAGGAAGCAGCGTAAATGTGTTTTACATTTGCCTCTGTAATGGTCTGCGGTTTGGTTTGCTGCCTTACTGGAAAATGAGCACTCAACTAAATTAGATTACCAGGCTAAAAGATGAGAGAGCATCATGAAACATGCTTGATCAAACATCCAACATCACTTTTTAGGATATCAGCCTTTACATTTCTCACATATTGCCTTAATTATTGGCTATTTAAATGTTTTTTCCTTCAGTCAAATATTGATAATACTATCTTAATCCCCCCCAACCAAAAAAACAAAAAAACTAACACGTTTATTAGAATCAAATCAACAAATGATCATTAAAAATAGTAAAAATGTCTCTTTACTTACTGATGATCCTACATCCTGAACGAATGACAAAGATAGGTAAAGCAGGTCTAAACCAATTCTAGGATAATAGATATGATATGTAGCCAGTGTTTGTTAACCTGCTGTAGCCATGTTGCTCAGTTTGGTGTTGTAGCTGTCCTGGCTGACTCTAGCCAACCTGACCTTGGTTTCTTCGAAAAAAGACTTGATTTCTTTTGTACACAGGTTGCAGCCAGCACAAACATTCTTCACTGTAATCATATATTTCTCTCTTTTTTTTTTTAGTATCTTTGCTAAACTAGCCCACTTCCTTATTCTTTTCATATTTAGAAGGCTGTTGGTGTCCCCCTTATTGTACTGTGCCTCCTGCAGCTGCAGGGGGCAATATGCATCAGCAGAGACGTGATACTACATTTCTTTTCTTCTTTTTAAAATGACAGGGCGCTTTGCATCTTCATATCCTTCTATATATTGTGCTCATTTTTAATAGTTTAGTGAAAAGAAACACACTGTGACCACCACAGTTGGACCTGGAACAAAATGCTTAAGTGGTATTTAAAGGTCCCATATAATGCAAAATTAACTTTATTAAAATTTTGTAACAGTCACAGCCAGTGAAGCCAGAGTATGAGGTTTACAAGTGGAAAAAAAATCCTTTAACCTCTATTACTGCCTTTTCCTCACATCTTAACTAATCTGTGCTTAACATGGTCTGTTTAAAAAGCATTCCCCTGATGATGTCATAAGGGGAAATAAGCTGTCCAGAGTGGTCTGTAGGAGCACATCGGTCAAGCTACAGCCTTCAACTGATGCATATTCCATGCTCCTAGACTATCTTTACAAATTCTAACTAGTTGTCATAATTGCGGGTTGGGCACACAGCCTTTGGAAGGATGGGGCGGAGAAAGTAAAATCAGCTCATTGGGTGGGGTGGGGGGCTGGATAAGGACATTTTAGTAAAGACCATCTGCCTAATTTGAGGAATTTTCCTGCACACACAGCAAAAACATGCTCTTTTATTTTCAAATGTAGCATAGTGTAGAGCCGGTTCTCCTCCACATCTAGAGGAGTCAGTTGAGGTGGCTCGGACATCTTCTTCAGATGCCCCCTGGACGCTTCCCTCTGGAGTTGTTCCAGGCACGTCCCACCGGGAGGAGGCCCAGGGGACGACCCAGGACACGCTGGAGAGACTATGTCTCTCGGCTGGCCTGGGAGCGCCTAGGGCTTCCCCCAACAGAGCTGGAGGAGGTGTCAGCGGAGAGGGAAGTCTGGGAGTCTCTGCTTAGTCTGCTGCCCCCGCGACCCGGTTCCGGATAAAGCAGGGGACGACGAGTACGTAGCATAAAATGGGACCTTTAAGGGCCAAAAGAGTCAGTATTTTTCCCAAACCAATATGTTACCACCACCTGTCCGAGAGTTTGAAAAGGGTGTATCCATGCATACAATATTGACTATTCATACTACCGTCTAAATGTGAAAGCTGAGATTAATAGTCTAAACCTTTTAGCCTGAGGTTTCCTTGTTTTTTTTGACAATTCTCACTCAACATAAGAAAGGCTTGGATATAAAAAATAACAGAAGATCAACAGTTTCTGAAGCACCATATTTATTTTACACAATAAAGGAACTTAAGCACCATTTTCCTCATTCTGAGACCTGTTTTAAACTATAGCAAGTTAACTTCTTTTTATCTATGATAATGACAAGCTCACTGCATTTTTAGCAACTGTGCAGCCACTTAAAGCATATGCATTTACTTTCTTAAAATGACATACAATATAGCAAATATACAAAATATATATAATACTAGTGTTAACATGCTTTAGATATAAACTATATAGAGGTAGAGTGAACAGACTTAAATTCATGCAAACAATGAAGGGCACTTTACGTATTAAATGGCCTTTTTTTCCAGAGTACAACCCGAGGCGACGCTTTTAGTTATGATATTAGCACCAGACAGAAGACTGCAGCATCGCAACTTAAACTCATCAGATATAACCTGTAATATGATACAGCAAGTAATCCTTTTAGATACCATACAAGTGTAAATGTTTCTAATAGTGCATACAGTGGTCTTACAAAAGATGCACACTGCAAAAAATGTAAATCTAAGTAGGCCAATTTTTCTAAAAATACGTGAATTTTCTATTGAATTAGGCAGGGAAGTGAGACTCTTTGCAAATCGAATAAGACAATCTACATTTGAAATGATAAAAAACAAATGAATTTTCTTATTTCAAGTCTATACTTTAACTGTAAAAATACCAATTCCATTGGCAGATCATCTTATTTACCAAATAAGGATGAATACACAGATTATAATTTTAGATAGTTTTTGCAGTGCACATAAAGATTATTTGTTTTACACTTTTTTAAGCTTTTACATGGTTAAATCTATATGGTTAAGTGTTTTAGCTACTTAAGTAAGGTTAAAATATGTTGTTATTTATCTTCAGATTTTCCTGGAGTAGAAGTTGGAAAGAGCAATGTGTATTCTGGAGGAGCATTGTTTGTTTGAGACAGAAAGTCTGCATTCAATTCAGGAGCAGAGGGATTCAGATTGAAAGAGGGAGCTGAAGGAGGCACAGAAGCAAAGGCAGGCTGGTTCTGAGGGTCTGGAGGCAGCATATAGAAAGCAGGGACAGGCGGTGGATGCTGAAGCCCGGAAGAGGACGATGACAATGGAGATCCATAGGGAGAAGGCCCCATGGGTACTGGGTTGGTCTGGGCCCCGAAGATGGGAGGTGGCTGGTAAGGATATGCACCTGGTGGACCACTATAGACCTGTGGGTCAGTAGGGTATGTGGGTGGTGGTACATAAGGACTTTGGGCATCTGGGTAACCATGAGGACCTGGATATGGTGGTGCAGGATAATGCGCAACAGGAGGAGGAAAATCGCTGTTAGTTGGACCACCAAAAGCCCCAGCAGGGTAAGGGTCCAAAGACCCACTAAGTTGAGCAACAAACATAGGATGAGCAATAACCACTGGGAAGATTATCTCTGGATCAAAGGCAAAGCTGATGTCCAGATACACCTACAAAAAAACAGGTATGCCTGATAAGAAGATCATGTTTCACATACAACAGCATCAAATTAACATTAACGTTTAAAAAGGGAAAATGTTATAGTTAAAAAGGCTTTAAAAGTGAAATTTGTTTTGACACATAATGATACATACCTTTAACTGGTGTGTCACTGAGATGATATCACAGTTCTCGATTGAAGGCATCTCATCAGTGGGAATCTTCAGCCCACACTTCACCTCCTGCTGGGTGTGAGGTTTAATAACCTTATCAACCACTTTTTCAACAGTTTGCTCCTCACTTTTGGAGTCTCCTTTCGCAAAAAACTTGATAGTCCGTATCAAACTAAATTTGGGAGTCATGTTTTTTGAGGAGGCATTGTTGACGTTTGCAAATATATGCATAGTTTCACCTGTTGGCAAAAAATAAATACAAATAAAATGTTTATTTTCCTCAAAGTTACAAATTTAAATAGTTTCAGAAAACATAAGCCAAGAATATGAAACAAAAAAACAAATAAGTGGGTAAGAAAATTCACTAAATGTAAAACTACTACCTAAAGGGTAGTAGTTTTACATTTATTTTCTTTAAATGTAATGTGACCAAAATTGATTACTTCACTTGATTAGAAATTCAAGTTTTTTACATTGATATGCCAAAATGCAGTTGATTGCCCAGGCCCATCAGCAACAATACTGGATGTAAAGTTTCTGATGTGACAGAGTCTTTCACAAGTTGAGAAACCCATAAAGTTCTCCTAATATGGGCCACATCATTATGTAACACCATGACAATTTCAATCTCATTTAATCGGTCTCTTCCTCTTTTTGATGAATCAAAGAAGCAGCAATGTTTATTGTATATTGCCATTAAAGTCATTAAACTCCATTATCTTAGCCAAGGATAGAAATTGCTGCCTTTCAGCTATTAATGTCGCCTCAGTGAAAGGTTCCTAGATTTGGCATTCTTTGTGTAGTTTTTCAAATTTACAAACTGCACATAACTGCTCAAAAAAATAAAGGGAACATATAAACAACACAATATAACTTAAATAAAATCAAACTTGTTTGAAATCAAAATGTCCACTTAGGAAGAAATACTAATTGACAATCAATTTCACATGCTGTTGTGCAAATGTAATAGACAACAGGTGGAAATTATTGGCAATTAGCAAGACACACTCAATAAAGGAGTAGTTCTGCAGACCACAGACCATTTCTCAGTACCTGTGCGTTCTGGCTGATGTTTTGATCACTTTTGAATGTTTATGTGCTTTCGCACTTATGGTTGCATGAGATGGACTCTACAAGCTAGTGATGGCCAAATAAAGCCTCACAAAGCAAAGAAGGCTTCCAACCCAATGCTTTGCCAAAAGATTCACTACTTGATGCTTCATTCATTGCTCACTATTTAGCACCACAGACACTACAACAGTCCTCATATTTCAGAAAACAGCAATGTGTGCAATATTGTCAAAAGGAAATTTTTGTTGGACACATGTGTCATTACATTTTAGGAATTAAAACTATACTAAAAAATAATCCATATATGTTGACTGTCTGCAGCAGCAGTTTTAGTTTATGTCATGGGTTGATTTTTGTAAGGAAGATAGACTGTATGCTCTCTCTGACTTTTTTTTCTGGAAATCTAGAGTAGTTATTGGTGTGCGTTATAAGATAAGACGTTTTATTTGTCATTATACCTACAGTGTACATATAATGAAATTTTATAGATCAGATAGAGGGTTAGCCTCAGCTACTGCGACTTGGCTAACCTAACCAGCATGTTTTTAGTGGTATCGGAAACATATGCACATGACATGAGGAGAACATGCAAACTCCACATTGAAAGGCCACTGGACAACTTGAAACCTGACTGGAGAAGCAACCGTGAAGTTATCTAGAGGACAGAACAGAGCAGACTGTACTTCCTAAGTAGGGGTGGGTATTGGCAAAGAAGTCATGATTCGATTTGAATCACGATTCACATGCCACGATGCGATTCTATCACGATGCATCACGATACTTGAAATATTGCGATGCATCGCGATATTTTCACTGAACGCTGTAGGAAAAGGATACAGCCCTTACCAGTGGCTGACTGGCTGTGTGTGATCTGGATAGTGTCTTTAATTGATACATAACTGAAAGCAACTGAATTCATACATAACTGTATTTATTGAAATGACTTTTGGAGGTGTTGCCATGAAAACAAATACTGGACAGAAATATTACTATTACTGGCGTGGACACACTCGTGCCGTTTACATGGCATCAGTGGTCCTTTAAACCAATGAAATGAAAACATTCAAATGTATGACATTTCCCCTTTTGCAAATGACGTGCGTCATATCAATTTCATTTTTACCTTCTTTGTTTTTAAAGCCTAAATGCATCCAAGCATCTTACTTGAAATGTGATGGAGCCGTGCAAATTTTCTCAGTGTCCTCCATGTTTTGTTTATGAATGACAAGTCACAGTATCCCGCGGCCGGAAATGCTTGTCACACAAGGCAGCGGGCGTCAACACATCCGCAGCGACATCTGCTGGACTGGAAGTTGTATTCCACTTGGTTTAGCTGATGTGCGCCAACCATTCATGTATTTTATTTGTTCATTTTTATAAATTAAAAATTGATACTTGGCGTCAAGAATCGATGCAGTAGATCACAAAAATTTGAATCGCGATGCATCGTCATGACGATTATTTTGCACACCCCTATTCCTAAGTAAGCTTAGGTCCTCCGCCATTTGCAGCAAGATGCTGCATATCTTCTATGTCTGTTATGGAGAGTGTAATCTCACCTACCATCATATGCTGGGGTATTAGTATCAGAGCTAATGACTTAAAGCTCAATAAGCTAATAAAAAAGCTGGCTGTGTTCTAGGAACTCCTCTAGAACATCTGGAGGTGATTTCGCAAAGAAAAATTCTTCATAAAGTGAGGAACATTATGGGCAACAGTGAGTATCTTCTTTATTAGATAATTAAACAACAACACAGTGTCTTCAGTAAGAAGTTTCTCCAGATCCGGTGCAAGACAGACCGCTGCAGAAGATCCTTCCTGCCTATAGCTATCAACGCATTTAATTTCCCTTTGGGATGAATAAAGTATTTTTGAATTAAATTGAATAACACAATTCAAGCATTCCGATCATAAATCTACTGTAGGTTGATATCTTAACCCTCTAAACCAAAAACCCCAAAAATTTTTTGGGAAATGAAACATAACCTATAATTGAAAGGAATCCGATTACCTGTGGCGAAAGCTGTCTTGTTAACAGTAGCATCTATTTGCACTTGTCCTTTAGAGAAAACTCCCATCTTCTTCTCAGTAGAACCAGATTGCTCATTCTGAAGGACAGAAGAAAAACAAAAAAATACCTTATTCATGACAAAATCTGAAAAACAATGTTCTTATGTGAACAGCAAAGGTCATATTGGTGCCCCTGAAGAGCTTTTATAAGAGTACTGATTGTGATCTAGGCCCAGAGATATTACTACCTAGTAGGGTCTTTAAGGTACTACTGGCATAAAGGCATTTTCAATGTAAGAAGTCAAGATTCCAAAGAACAAAGTTTAAGAATATAGATTAAGGGCCTAATCTTCAAAGATTCAAAATAAGAACCTACCTGTGCAATTTGTTAAATATGTGCAATAAAAGGGCATGTTGCAGCTGATCTACAAAGATAGCTGTGTATGTTTAGACATGCAAAACAATTAGGTTCCGCCCATAAAAAAGAGCAGGTTTTACGTTTGACTAACAGTTGGAGGGAGGCTGCAAAAGAAGGATAAGGTTCAAAGCCATGGAGATAAAGATAATAATCAAAATATCAAATAATATTTATAATGCAACTTGAAGCCTATTTCAAAGTGCTAAGAACAAAAGTTAAAGAAATCAATTTGGTTTAAAAGTATAAAGATTGTTAATTTGAAGTGGCCTGTAGATTTTTTTTCTTTTATTTTGCTATTGTTATTTTCTGAAGGTGCAAATGTTTACATGCGCCCAGAATATCTCTCTATCCTCTGCCATTATAAAAATGTCTTCTTTGTGGCAGCAAGAATAGCAGTTATATTTGGTGTTAGTTTGGAAATGGCTTTCTGAGTTTCTAAAAAAGACTCAAGAACGCAGTTGAGTTTCTGATTTGGACGATCACTATGTGGTAAATGTCTACGTTTACATATTCTCCTCCACCCATTAATTAGAGCTGTTTTGTCATTACCATAGGAGCTGCATCAAAGTGGGTTAGTTTTGCCAGTTTTGTCTGCTTTTGCTTGCCTTTATTTCGGCCTGGCCAGTGGGAGAAAGCGTCCTACATCATGGAATCTGGGCATTGTTGGTTTCACCTCATCATGGTGACATGTATTTACAAAGTAACCAGCGGTGTTTTTTACTTTAGAAAGCAGAAAAAAGCTGTCGGCATTCCTAGATTCCCAGAGACGGAACAAATACGGGGAATACCACCACCTACTCCACAGGCTAGATCTGGTTGACAGTAGCCATCCACCAATCCGTGACTCACTACGGGGGATCTACTCTCCCACACTGGGGGACGAATCACCTGGACAATACAGGGTAGGTGAGATGGCATTCTGGAGCTCAGACCACAGCAGCAGGAAAACAGTGCAAGAAAACCAGGATATGTTGGTGAAGATTCTCAGTCAATTTGAATTGCAATGCTGCCTGGATGGGAAGCGAAACATCTTCAAACTTGGAAACAAAGTCCCGTAGATTGTTTTTTAACTTTTTTGGAAAACCAACATAGAAAAAAAACAGAACCGGGACCAGGTTGCCAGCCTTGTCACCCTCTGGAACCACAGCAGGGGATCGGAGGAGGCCCCCAGAAAATCAGCGCACTAGATCAGATTAGTCCACCGGAAAGACAGAACACTGAGGGCGGGTAAGAGAACACAGCTGCCCGGGGGGATAGGACAGTGGAACATCCAAGATGCCACCCATGGAGGCAGAGTGAGTAGAGGTTACGGCTGGCTGGAGCTAGCCTCTAAGCTAGGGGTGTAAATAATAATTGTTTTGTATCGATGCATCGATCCAAAAGCCGACGATCCGATGCATCGACACGTCCGCAAGATAATCGATTCATGTTTTTTTTCCCTCCGGTCTATTTTTATCCATTTGCTTCTGGGCGTAATTCTTCCTCCCGTGCTGCGGTGCCGCTAAACCTATTTTGCCCTCCTACCGCGCTTCCTGGTTATACTCTTACAGCAGTGTGTTGCAGCAAGCTTCACACAGACATTTTTAAATTATGCTCAGTATTGAAGCGTGGTCTGAGCTACACACTGTGGGTCTAGATATGGCCGAGGCGGCGAGGAAGTGGGGGCGAGTTTAGTCCGACGACGGAGGGACATGAGGGCAAAAAGAGCGGAGATTCAGCTGGAAAAAGGGTCCCAGCGTTCTCGCGCACCTCGCTCTTCTAGCGGGTCAAAGTTCACGAGTTGTTTTCCGCAATTTCGGTCATAAAAACAAAACAAGCTGGCCTCCTGTCTGCTGCACTGTTTGCGGTCAGCTACAATCTGGGAGAGGAGCAGCGGAGCGTCTCTCAAGGGAGCGGTGACGTCGACACTCTGAAGCCTTCTTCTTCTTCTTTTTTTTAATGGCGGTTGGCAAACAACTTATAGGTGCATTACCGCCACCTTCCAGAATGGAGTATGGACCAGACAAACTATTATATTCTCCCTAAAATACCCGCTCTTCTTAGAAAATTAAAAATACTACCAAAAACTACAGTACATCCCCAGATGACCTTTGAAACAATTCCCTTATATCTAGTTTATTTTTATTCCTGTCTAACTCTCTAAGCAACATCTCTCTTTCCTGAGTATATTTATTACATTCTAAAAAAATATGTTGGACAGTTTCTCTGGAGCCGAGGTATTGCATTGAACTCATTACACTGATATTGTGCAGTATTTTTGCAGTATTTTTTGATGCAACTTTTCTACTTCTGTTATTTGCTGTTGTTTCTAAAGAAAATGCATAATGATATTACAGCTTTCATTGATTTATTTCAAACTTGAAACTTTGTTTAGCCTGTAAGGTGTAAAACAAAAAAAAAAAAAAAACGATTAATTGATTAATCGAATCGAATCAAATCGAATCGTGGTGTATTCTTGAGTATCGAAAATAATCTAATCGTTGGGTCAGGAAATCGATACTGAATCGAATCGCCATGATGGATGTGATTTACACCCCTACTCTAAGCTAACTGCAGGAGATGAAAGGAGCAATGGGGAGGATCAGCGAAGCTTGCCTGGGCAGACAACAAGAGAGCTGGGTAAGGAAGGCATCTGTCTGCACTGGAGGCAACACAATGGAAAATTCCTAGGACTAAATTAAGACAGCTTTTTTAAAAGCCACATTAAATCCTCTTAAGAGCATTCCTACTTCATCCTTTGTAAACATTATTTTCTCTATCTTCCATTTTTAATGAAAAAAAGCTGATCTCTACTGTGCTCCTTCACTGTAGCTCACACCTACATCTAGTCTCTTACTGGAATTTGCAACGCAAAAGTAAAAAAAAGTAAAGATTTTTCAACTTAATTTGTGGCAGAGAGGGCGATCGAATGTCGCCATCACCAAAATTGCGCTGGTCGCCTCAATCCATTTGCCACTGTCACCTCGTTCGGGTTTGCATCGCACCAGATCCGCCCTTCTACATAGAGTTAACATGGGAATCCTTTGCTCTAAGCTGTGAAATTTGCGTTCGATGCGAACATACCTTTAGAATATGATCTACATATTGGAGTAATGTTCAGGTCCCAAATGTCCCTAAAGCTAGATTTCAGGTGGCACATTCAAAGCTTTACCAAGAGTACAACAGTGATATATAATATGGCTGCAAAACATTTCCTTGGTAAAGATTTCTGCAGTTATGAACAGTAAATTCTTACTTATATTACCTCATAACTCAGCTAATTTAACCATACTGATACTGGTATACTGAATGTGATGCCAGTGTGACTGAAAGTACAAAATGCTGTGAAATTTGTTTCTATTGTCTCATGTGAGATATAGCAATTACAGTATCATAGTCAATTTTTCTCCACTCAAAACAGGTATTGAGATAAAATATGGCTGATACGTTTAGTCTTGTTACTGTAACCTTTTAGATGCATTAAAACTTTTGAATGAAATCATAATTCAGACATCAACTTTGACAGTCATCTTAGTCGTCTTTTTGTTGAATGATTTTGTTTAGTCTCACTTACATGATATTGGTGAAAAAAAATAATTAATAATCTGTGCTTATTGTCTGAGCATAATGAATATTATACGCACTAAAAGGGTCCTGAAGTTGGAAAATGACTTGGAAACAAATTTGAACTCCTTTTCTGCAGTGGAATCCATCCTCCAGCTCCTGGACAGTTTGGCTTCCAGTTTGTAGACAATTTTTCCATGAGTTCCTCTGAAAGACGATGGCATGTTTCTGCATAACAGACATGATGGTGATTTAATGATAAGTGAATGAATATAATGCCATATATTCATTCATATGCTTCAATCAGAGGTGGAAAGGGTAGCTAAAGCTTGTACTGGAATAAGAGCAATGATACTTCGTTATTTGTTTACTCAGGAAAGCAAGACTATAAAATGACAAAAAAGTATTTACTCAAGTACTGAGTACTTGTTAAAAATATGTGTAAATGAGGTTATCAGACAAACATATGAAATCATCTTAAAATGTTTTAATGTGAAAGAATAAAATCAAAATGAGTAAAAATAAATAGTCAGAAAAAAGTAAGGGTGGACAAAACATGGAAGGATGAGTTAAATAAATTAATACAAAAAAATGTGCATCTTATGTCACAAAATAAAGATTATTAACAAATTTTAAACCCCACTTTAAAATAAACTATAAGCATTGTTGTATGTTTGATGCTATTTTCATTAAAACCTATTTACATTTTCATTTCAGGAACTACAGAGTGTGTAGAAATCCAGACAGTACCTTAGCAGTAGGTTCTCTGTTATTGGAAACCACCTTACCAATGTGCCACATGAAACTGTTGCAAGATTTTTAGCTTAAACTTACCTCCTTTCTCAGTATAAGACAACCACACTGTTTTGTGAGAAGAATTTGAAATGTGGAAGTTAAAGAAAATGTTTTGTCAGTGTATTGTGTTGTACTCACTCAGATGGGATCCTAAAGCTGAAGTTGTAGACATGGTTCCCTTCCGGCAAAACAGTCTCTGGAAATGCAGATATAAAACAGGATATATTTAGTTTAATTAATTTATACTCTTAATTTTCCTGCACACTAATTGAGTAAGGATGAATAAAACTTGCATTGATTCAGTTTTGTCCCTTTTAATGGTCCTTCCAGGAACAACTGAGTAGGGGTGGGTATTGGCAAAGAAGTCATGATTCGATTCGAATCATGATTCACATGCCACAATGCAATTCTATTACGATGCATCATGATACTTGAAATATTG